TATGACGTGCAGCAGGTGCCTTTTCTATGATGGTCACCTCTGTTACACCTGGGGAAGATTCTGGAGGAGGAAAAAGAAAGTCTGTAGATTTGTAACTGTCCTGTTCTCACAGAGTTCTACTCTAGAGGGTGGCTAACTGTTGATAACTATCCTAGAAATTTCTAGGCCCTCTAATGAACTTTTTAAAAAAGTTTATTTTTTCATGAGAATGTAAGAGACAGAGAAAGAAAAGTACCCTCAACTGGGTCTCACACTGGATCTATGCCCTCTACCTCAAGCCTTATCAATCAGGATCATGTACCTGCATGTACAGGTCAATGTGGGAACCTAAACTGTGATCTTCCATATGGATTTAGCATCACTTGAGCAGGAGGTTACCGCTGTGCCAGCTCATTTTGATGGAACTTTCATGCCATGGTCACGGTGAGCCCCAATGAAGTCACAGCCACAGACTGTTTCCTTGCTCTGATCTATCCTCAGAATACCATCAAAAGATCTTGCCCAACTTAGGTTTGTTTCCTATTCAATCCTGCTTGGTTCTCCCTTTGGTCTGGAAGATGAGGGTCTTCTATCTGTTTGATTTTATCTTCCTCTACCTCACATCCATAATTGTGTTCTAGTAGTGTCAGGGCCATATTCCTTCTATCCCTCTATCCACAAGGAAAACCAATCTGTACCCAAATACAATTATATTCTAGCCCTTTTCCAATATACATGCCAAAATATGTCCCTACTTTTCTTTGTCTGCCCAAGTTCTACCTATATTTTAAGTCCATACTCAAGTTCCACTTTCCCCTGGAACCATTTCAGATTACTCCAGTTCGCAGTGATCTCTGCTTTTCCTGATATCCCATCCCATCTCATCTAGGGTAGGGGCCATACTTACATTCTATTTTGAACTATGTCTTGGTTACTTACTATGAGACCCAGGCAAAGTATAAACAGGAAATGTATTGAAATGAGTTTCTGAAATCTCTAGGACTATGGCAGAGACTTTCAATTTAGTTTTATGTAGCAAATTAACTGTAATTTTGACAGTATCTTTTCTATGTACCATAATGTTTTATCCAAGTTGTCAGAAAACTCAGATTTGGATTGCAGCAACAGTCAATTATAGGATCTAAGAATTTTGGACTCTTATCTAGTCTAGTCTTATATTGGTTATCCTATTATATCACCTTAGATGGGTCTTCACTTCCCTTTGCCTTCACTAAGACAGAATAATTCATCCCTTGATAGTAGAGGCAAAGGAAATAGAATTGAATCTGACTTGGGAAAATGAAAAGTACCATATAGTTATTTAAAAAAAAAAAAAGAGGTTTCTGCCTTAGGGCACGTTACTTGCCTGAGAGAGAGAAAAAGAAGGACAGAGACAGTGAGAGAGAAAGTGAGAAGTCACCCTCCCAGGAGGGATGGTCATGCCGTCATCCCTTCTCTTTCATTCTCCTCCTGGGATCTTGGGCATGCGTGCACATGTGCCCAGGATGATTTTCAAGCCACTGGGTCAGTCCAGGACTTGAACTGTGGTCGACTACGTGGGAATCCAGTGTCCAGTGATGTAACCACTGTGCCATCTTCTGGCCCCAGTTACACAATATTTTGTCTGCCTTTTGCTCCAGGCCATTAGACTTGAGGTGAGTCTATGTCCCTAACTGGCTGGGTTGAAGTTGTTAAGTCTGTCCCTTCATGGGTGGTCTCATTTGGCATTGTTCCACCAAAACCAAGATAAAGTATAATAATTGTTATTATTCATATTTTACAGAAAAGGACATTGAGGCTGAGAGATTAAGCGACAAAGCTAATTATCTGACTCCACCTACAAGCCTATTCGAGAAAAGAAAAGCTTATGTACAAAAGAGTTGCATGCTCCCTGTCACAGCTTTTTAGCAATTATCCTATGGAAATGTAGGGTCTAGCTTTAATCAGTTTTAGCACTTCAACTGAACTAGAGCAGAAGAATACAGAATTCTTTGCCAACAACCTGGCTAGTTGCACAATGTTATCTGACCATACCACAGGGCAGTCTAGAATCTAGAGGGTTGCAAGAGGACACATACAATTCTCAGTTTATAACAAGCCTACCTAAAAAAGCTGTAGTCTCAGACAGAACTACTGTGATGGTACTACAGATAGTGTTGTATCATACTTTAGAATACTTTCATAAGAGGCCTCTGGTCAACGGTCGGTTGGTTATGAGAGAGAGGTTCTCACTGTATTGCAATCCTCCTGCCTCACTTTCCCACGCAGGCATGCACCACCATCACCACCTCTTCTTTATTTATTTTTAATTTTTATGTATTTATTTATTTGGAGAGGTTTTTTTCACTATAGGACACATGCTCTCGCCAGACCGACAGAGACAGAGAGACAGAAAGCGAGAAATCACCCCCAGGGGGATGGTCACGCCGCAATCCCTTCTCCTCCGTTGTCCTCTTGGGATCTTGGGCATGCACGCACACACGCCCTGCGTGAGTTTTAAGTCACCGGGTCCAGGACGTGAACTGCGGTCGACTACGTGGGAGTCCAGCGACATAGCCATTACGATAACTGCTGGTTCCCACCACCTATTTAGACAAGGTCTGAGATATAATGTGTAGGCTGGCCTCAAGCCCTCAATCTTCCTGCTTCAGTTTTCAGAGTTGCTGGGATTTACAGGCACGTACCACTGTGCCTAGCCTTTAGGTTGGACTGAGAATCAAAGTTTGGCCTCCCATGTGATCCCAGCCTGCAGAGGAGAAGCATCTTAGCAGTACATGTCACTATAACTAAGCCTGACAGGCCATTTTTTTAATTGTCAGAGGGTACATGTGCTTGCCAGAGAGAGAGAGAGAGAGAGAGAGAGAGAGAGAGAGAGAGAATATGAACCCTTCTATGGGACATGGTCACGCCTCAATCCCTTTTCTCCATTCTTCCCTCCTAGGAGTTTTGGCATACATGTACATGTGCCCAGTAGGTCTTTCAAGCCATGGGGGCTGGGAATTGAACTATGTTTGGTCATGCAAGATCCAACTCCCTTAACCACTGACAGTTCTGGGCCCCTCAACAGGCTGATTTTTTGCTGAGCTATGGGATTGGCCCCCAGTAGACTGATTTTTAATAACTTTCAAATAATACATTGCTTAGAAAGTACCCACTATAGAGACGTCTTTAGTCAATACTTCAGCACTGGTGGACAGGTACTAAGGATAAGGACAAGAAGGGCAGGCAGTAAATTCTCTTTGTATAATGCTCTATAACAGGGAATTGGCATAAATAACCCATTGGTGAAATCTTTCAGCAATCTTGTTAAACCAATATCATTATCTTCAATTTAAAAATCAAGAAACTGAGATTTAGAGATATTAAATAATTTAATAGAACTAAATTTCTAACAAAAGCTGTGGATACCAAGTCCGATTTTCTATAATACCATGTTGCTTTAGCAGCTTAACATTTTGGTGGCCTAACCAAAGGCATTTTGAGGATCTTTAAAAGGCAAGACCAATAACACATTGCCCTTGGTCCATCAACATGAGCGGATACATATATGAGTATATGACTAGGGATAGCCAATCCCACTGTCCTGCCTTAGTGACCAACTACAAGTGTTTGTGAGCAGCATGACTGGAATAACCTGTATGGCAGAGTAAGAGATATGAAACTCAGATCTTAAGACTAAGCAGTTCACACTAGATAACTGTGTGATATGTCACAGATTAAAACTCTCGGTGGTAGTTATTCCAAAATTGGTTGCTATCAATTCCTTCTTTCCCTCTAAAGGGACTTCTTTACCACTACTTCTCCACTGAGAGGTGAAGTTTCTTTATCGTCCTGATTTTGGAGATGGCTTGTGACTATTTTCAACAGTTCAAGATGGTGAGGAGGTGCTTTTCCAGTTTGGGACTTAAAACTTTAAGACAAGTGACAATTTCTCTCTTCCTTTTTGGTGTCCTGGGCCCCCAACTAAATCTATGCTAGTCTCCACAGATAGGCCAAATAGAAGAGCACTGAGGGAGCCAGATATGTGTGCAGAAGTCATCAGGTAATTCCAATCCCAGCTGCTAACCACGACCCTTGAGAAACCCAGAATGAGAACTATCCTAGCTGATTCAGTCAATTGTAGAGAACTGGGAGAAAGAATACACTGCTTTTCAAGCATTACGTTTTAAGGTGTTTGTTACTCAGTAGTAGATAACTGGGGCATAATTCTTAGAGGAAAGCAATCTCTGAGATATTTAACGAGGTATTTAATGAACTGCTATGTTCTCTGGTAATTACTGCCAGAGATTAGGAATGTAAATAGGAGACATCCTCAAGAAATGCATTGTCCAGTTTGGTAAACAAAAGTGAAAACTTCAAGATATGTTAAACAGGAAGACACAGACCCTAAGGGCCACAGGAAACAAAGTTACAGGGATGTCTATGAAGACTGATCAAGTGACAGAAAAGTCAGGAAACTATGCACTGCTCATCTGAGCCTTAAAAGATTATGTGGCAGTTACCATGAACTGGCTCCAGACCTACTCCTGCTCCCTCCCATTGTGCTTTTTCTGTATTTTAGACTAGAGAGCCAAAGACTACCTTTCCCAGATTCCATAGCAGCTACGTTCCTCAGGTGACCATAATTCTTAAATAGAAACCTACTCTCATAAAACTTGGAACTAGGAAAGGATCAGGTGAGGTACAGAGCAAACATGGAGACTGGATCTTCCCACAGACCATAGTTCAGAAGTATTTCTTTTTTTGGAGAGATTTTCACTATAGGGCACGTGTGCTCGCCAGACAGACAGAGACAGAGAGACAGTGAGAAATCACCCCCCGGGGGGGATGGTCATGCCGCAATCCCTTCTCCTCCATTCTCCTCTCGGGATCTTGGGCACGCATGCACATGCGCCCGGCGTGAATTTTGGGACGCGAACCGTGGTCGACTATGTGGGAGTCCAGTGACATAGCCATTATGCTAACTGCTGGTCTCAGTTCAAAAGTATTTCTATCTCACGGGATTGGGAGCTGTAATGGGGCAGCAGCAAGAACAGCAGTAGCAATTTCCTGATTTTGTGGCTCTTTATTACATTAGCTGC